CCCACATAGAACATGGAATCTTGGTGGGTATTTGACTTAGTGTTTAAAATGCTGCTAGGGACACTCACATTCATATTGGAGTGTCTTGGCTTAAGTGCTGGTTCTACATCCAGTTCTAGCTTTCTGTAAATGCATGTTGTGAGACCTAACAGGCAATGTCTCAAGTACGTGGGTCCCTGCCACCAATAAGGACACTTCAAGGGAATTCCTGGCACCTGGCTTCATTCTGGCCCATATCTGGTTGCTGCAAGTATTTGAGAGTTAATCAGAAGTTAGGAGATCTGTCTTTTTTTTTTTTTTTGTCTCTTTTCCTTTCAAATCATATGTGTGTGTAATATATAAAATAAGGGTGGAAAATAATTTTGAGATAAAGCCAGAGGAGTTTCATATTAAAGATGCATATTAAAATCCCTTGGGAAATAAGATACTTAAGTTACAAAAACAAATGAAGGGATTAAAGTACTAAAAATAAATAAATAACAAGGTAATAAAAGGAGGAAAAGAGAGATTAAAACTCAGCTGACAGGCATTGCAGCAGAACAGGCACACTTCTCGAGACATCCATATCCTATCTCAGAGCTTGGTTCAGGTCCCAGTTACTATATGCTTCTGGCGCAGCTTCCAGGGGATGACTGCCCTGGTGGTGAGGTCTCTGCCCCATAGGCGGAGGTCTGGGCATGGAGTGCCTGGCACCTGGTATAACCCTCGTCTGGCTCTGGCTATTGTAGCCATTTGGGGAATGGTCTAGCCAACAGAAGACCTATTTTCTATGTATCACCCTTTCTCTCTGTTGCTGTGTTTTTCAAATAAATAATTAAAAAATAATGAGGCACTCCATCTGTAGGAAATTGTCTGGGTTGCCTTATACAAGTGTTACAATGCTAGGAGAAATGTAGCTAATAGCTGGGGGCATTCTGAGCCTGGTTAATGACAAATCTGTGTTAACTATACCAGTGTGCCAGAATAGTCACCTATTCTATTATTTTGTTGCTGTTGTTTTTAAGCTACATTGGGAAGCTGCGGAATACCAGGCCGGAACATGCCAATACAGCTCCCAGGCAGAGGGTCTGTAATTGCCCAGGGAAGAAGGTCTGGGGACATATTAGAATGGGAGCGGCAGAGGCCATGTTTGACAGGGGAGGAATGATTTCTGGGATATTCCACAAACTAGGCCATTGCACTCATAGGTTGGTAAAGGAGTTGAAACAGACTGATTTAGACAAGGGAACCAGAGAGCATGTCTGAGTCAGGCCATGGCACAAGCCCACTTGGGAGATATGGATAGATCAAATAGCATTGCCTGCCACCCATTGGCATATACAAAAGCTAGGGCTCGGGGGCAAGATTAGCTGGGTTAGGCCACCTTACCCACCTGTGAGTTTCAGAGCAGGGAATGAGCCGTGTTAGACTAGGCCACAACACTTACCAGAAAGTGACCAAACCAGATCTAGGAGCAGATTCAGTAGGGAACGTGTGGGCTCACCTCTGTGGAACTGCAGCACCTACAGGCTTGCTTGAAAAGCTGGGGGTGGTGATACACTGACCTGGACTGGACTATGGAACTCAACTCATACTCCTGGGAGCCAGGGCTGGAGGAGGCTGGGCTGGGCCAGGTTGCAGCATCTGTCAGCATACGCAAATGCCACAACTGAGAGCACACTATGCCAAGTAAGGCTGCGGCACCCATGACATGTATGAGATCTGGGACTTGAAGTGGGCCTAGTAGGGGAACTTGGGGAATTTAGCTGCTAAGCTCCAGCTCCCAATGGTGAGCATGAGAGCTAGGGCTCAGGGCTAGCAAGGCCAGAACAGGCTGCAGCACCCAGTAGCATACATGCAGACCCAGTCTGGCAATGGATTTGACTGCAGCAGTCTGCAGCACACACTGGCACACGCAGAAGTCAGGACAGGGTTCAGCCAGGCCTGACTGGACCACAACACCCCAGTTAATATGAGGGCTGGTGCCAGGAGGAGGCCAGCATTGGGATAGGCTGCTGCACCACCCAGCAATAACTGGGACTGGAGGCAGACCAGGCTGATCCAGGCTATAGTACCTGCTGGAAAATGCCAAGATTGGGAGTAGGCTATCTCAGACTGAGGTTGCCACAACATCAACTGGCATGTGTAAGAATCAGGGCTGAGAGCAGGCCTGAAAGGGGAATTTTGTGGACAAGGGCTCCTTTGCTAGGTGGCTGCTTCCACTGTTAAGTGTGAGAGCTGTTACTGGGGCAGGCTCATCTGGGGGTGAGCCAGTCTGGACTAGACTGCTATACCTACTGACACACACAAGAGCCAGAATAGGCACACGCCAGGAGCAGAGACAGAGCAGCAGATCCCAGATGGGCAGTGCGAGAACAGGGTGGATTTCACAGCCCAGTCAGCCCTCTAGAGCTGAATTTGGCGCCATTTGGCTGAAGGAGAAAAAGGCAAGGGAAAGGACTGAGCATACACTGAGCTGGGAGTAAACTCATTTGTGACTCAGAGAACTGCATCAATGTGGCGTTCTACAGGTTCCACTCAACACAGGTCTGGGTAGCCCTCAGACCCGATGGCCAGCAGATCAAGAACTCTAGAAATGGCACATCAGGCACCATTTTATACACTGTGGCAAAAACTTTAGGACTGCAGGGGACAACAGTGAACTGCGCATGTGCTGAGCTCACAAAAACACACTGAGTTCAGTGAACTGCACTGGTTCCACAGGAAAATAATATCGACTGTGGCATCACAGGGGTCAAAATAGGTCCGTGTGGCACCCATACCTAACGTCCAACAGGTTCCAGAAGATCAGCACCACCAACAACGTACCTATATAGAACACCTGGTGTCTCCCTAATCCTGGGACCTCCTCCAACCGAAAGTGGGAGAAAGTTTGTACAGACAACGGTGCAGCCTCAGTGTGGTATCACAGGAGGTAGAGACTGAAAATCTAACGTAACAACCCAGACCTGGAACTTGCTGGAGGGAATGGCACAATTGACTGCAAGCAAAGAGTGGTGTACTAACTGCAATAAGTAAAATCAAACTGTGGACCTGTGGGTAACATAGCTTAGAAACCTGCCCCAAGGAGAAGACTCTGCTAACCAGAAGTACAATGATAAAGAACAAAAGAAGAGACAAAGGCACAATGAATACTACTGAAGACTCCCCTGCAAAGGAGCAAAACCCTATGCCAAACTCAGAGTTCACTGAGGAAGATATCGAGAATATGGGGGACACAGAATTCAGAAAACTCATTGTAAAGCTTCTAATCACCAATGAGAAGCACATACAAGAATTCAAAGAATTTAAGGAATATTTCACACAAGCAATAGCAGCAATAAAGCAAATCAAGGCTGATGTATCAGAAATTAAGAACACAGTAGAGCAAATTAAAAGTACAGTGCAGAGTCTCCAAAATAGAATGAAGCATGCAGAACAAAGAATCTCAAAATTGGAAGATATTTCCTGTCACAAAGGGGAAGCAAACAAAAAGCTGGAAGCAGAGCTGGATCAGGCCAAAAAAAGTATTCAAGAATTGAAAGACACTATGAAGAGGCCCAACATAAGAGTTATGGGAGTCCCAGAAGGTGCAGAAAGAGAAACTGGTTTTACAAATATATTTAATGAAATAATAAAAATTTCCCTAATCTAGAGAAAGAATTGGGAAACAGGATCCAGGAGGGGCACAGAATTCCCAAAAGGCTTGATCAAAAATGATCTTCACCAAGACACATGATCATCAAGCTCTCTTCAATTGAACATAAGGAAAAGGACCTTAAATGTGCATGTGAAAAACAATCAACTGACATATAAAGGAATGCCAATTAAACTCACAGGATACTTTTCATAGGAAACTCTACAGGCAAGAAGAGAATGGAGTGACATATTCTAGATCCTAAAAGAGAAAAATTGTCGCCCTAGGATAACATATCCAGCAAAGCTTTCTTTTGTCTTTGAAAATGAAATAAAATTCTTTCACAGTAAAGAAAGGGTAAGAGAATTTGCCTCTTCCAAACCTGCCCTACAAAGGATACTTCAAGATGTTCTCTTGACAGAGAAGAGGAATAGCACCTACCAAAACCAGAGGCAAATGTGAAGAACATTCCAGTAAAATGACAACAGAAGACTAATCCAATGAACAACCCATACCTAAAATGCCAGGACCAAAGTACCACCCATACATATTAACCCTGAATATAAATGGTTTAAGCTCAATCAAACATCATAGATTAGTAGTCTGGATTAAAAAAACAAAACCCATCTATCTGTTGTCTAGAAGAGACACATTTCACCAACAAAATTCAGCAGAAGCTATATCTCAAGCATTTCTATTTTTTTGTTTTTGTTAGTTTCATCTCTTCAAAACACTTTCTTCTGATTAAATTCTTCAATGATTCATAGATCATACAGTAGCATCATTTTCTTCAAGAATTTCTTGATTCTCTTTTTCATTTCTTCAGCGTCACATTAGTCATCCTGTAGCATGTTATTTAACTTCTTCGTGTTGTTAATTTCTTTTTTCCTCCTAATGTTGATTTTGTTTTGTGGCTCTTCATTTAAGGAGATGTATAGTAGCTGTGTAATGGAGACTGTCATATCTAAGTAACTTGTTATTTAACTTCATGGCATTGTAAATTTTTCTTTTTCTTTTTCTTTTTATTGTTGATTTTCTATTATGACTTTTCATTTGAAGGGATGTACAGTAACTGTGAAATGGAGACTAACATATCTAGATGTGAGGATACAATGTAGTATGCATTTCTACTTCCAGACAAAATGGACTTACAATGAAACTGTTTACTATATCTTGACAACATGCCCATAATGTTGGATATATGACTGTGTATGAAGAACTATATGTTAGTAATGATATAGAGGAACTAGGCGTGGGGGGGAAATTGGGGAGGGGATAAAGGAAATACCAGGAGGCTATGGAACCTGTATCATAAAATGATAATAATAATAATAATCATAAATATTTTTTAAAAATAAGACGCAAATAGGGAGAAAATATCAGAAGAGAGATTAGGCAAATGAGAAACGTATCAGACAAAATAGACTTCAGGATTACTGGAGATATGTGATGATGATAAAGCGGCCACTAACAAGAGACACAGATAACAATGACTCGTGTTATTCCTCCAGTCCTGTAAAGGGAAGGAGAGAGCATTCAGGGCACCTTGGATCCTACACTGCAGTGGCAAATGGGAAGCATATGTATTTTACTTACATAATTTTCTACTAAGTTTTCCCAGCATAGCTTCTCTCTGCCACCAGAACATGAACTTCAGCAGTGTAGGTATTTGTCTGATGTATTCACTTCCACATCATCAACACCTAGACTGGTGAACAATGTATGCAAAGTACCAAGTAAATATTGGTGGAGAGTAGACATGCATGACCGAATAAATGAATAGAATGCCAGTGGAGCACTTAGAGTGTACAGCTCCCTGAATACCATTCCCCTGGCCTGTTTTCCTTTCTTCCCACATTCAAGGAAATGTATCCGCTGGTCACTGTAAGATTAATTTCACCGCTTGGACATGTTTTCATCTCAGTGAAAATACTATGATTATTTGGCTGAAGGCAACAGGAAATGACCAAGAGCTGGAATGCATGACACAGTCTTTGGCTGAAGAAACCGGACAGTTTCTCTGCAGTGTAAGCCTGATGGGGCCCTGGAATGGGAAGCAGAAAGATGTTTTAAATGATTTTCAAAGGAATGATACATTTGGCCTTCCAGTTATTACACTTTAATACATCCGACACTCAACTTGCAAAATCCAATTGCCATTTTCGTCAGACTGAATTCTCCTCACCACCTCCCCCCGCCCCCCCGCCCCGTGTCTGGAGAAAATGATAAGTCATACCCCACAAAACAAAGACTTAGAGTTCTGTCTTCTGGGGACACAGCTTCCTGACAGGACGATGAATATTGCAGGACGATGAATATTGCAGACCTGCTTCCCAGACAAAGCCATCCACATAGGTTTATGTAGCGGGGTGGAGGGGGGAGTAGAGCAACTGGAAAGAGCAAGGACCCCCTGATTAAATCTACAGACTATATGGTCCAAGACAGAGTGTCCCATTGTACAGATTAAAATACCAGAGCCCATAGACAGAAACAGACCTAAACTAAGGCCCTAAGACTTGCACCAAACTACTGTTGACTAACTCCACATCTCCTAATACCAAACCAAATGCTACTTTCAATATTTCACAGTCATTTTGCTTTTGATGCAAACACAAAATATGTGCCACCATCTCTGAGGAATCAAGTGTGTTTATTAATATTTGATTAATATTGATTAATATTAATCAAACTGGTTAATATGCAGTTTGGAGGTGAAAGGCATGCATAGAATGCAATAAGATTAGGGTCTGTGCCTGAGTGGAATGCTGATTTAAACCTGGACCCTCTGCTTAGCTGTGTGGTTGTGAATGCATTACAGAATGTTTCTGTTTTCCTGTCTGGGAGACTGAAAGTATACTCTCGTCACATGGCTTTGGTCAAATTATATAACTTCATCTTATAAACATTAGCTATCATCAATGACACTCTCAGCTCTAAGCAGTTTTAAGAACAGAAGCACACAGTATTTTAAATAATGACATCACAATGAGAATTTTCCACCTAACCATAGTATAATAGCCAAATCTACAAAGTGCCTATCATTTAGGAGACAGACCATTCAGTGACAGATCATGTTCCAGCAGTCCAAAGAGAGTGGATGCTTCAATCAAAATAGTCAAGGCACATTTCTACATCAAATTGTAAAGACTTATTGCAAAAAAAAAAAACACATCTTTTTCATGTTCCTTACCTACTGCTTGTCCCAGCTGGCCTGTAGTCCAGGATTCAGCTGTGGAGCAGTCTCCTTCTGAAACATCACCTATCATAGCATGATAAAAGAGTGACAGACAGAAAGTTATGTACTGTCTTCTTTCTGGCGAGGACATGTGCCTTGCACTCACACGTCACTGGCCAGTGCCAGTCCCAGGATGAGGCTGCACACTCATGGACAGGGAAGTCCTTTCTCAGGACACACAGTGAGTGTCTGTGAGCTCCAATGCCAAGTTCCACGGTAGACCAGCTGCCCTCTGCAGAATGGCCCTGCAGAAGTCACAGAGCTCAGAGTTGAACTATTCAAGTCTAACCAAAATGGCCAACTAAACAAAAGGAATCTTCAGATGGCACAGAACAAAAACCAACGCCCAATCTAAAAGACCACAACCAGGTGGTGTGAAAATAGAAGTAGATTTTCACTGTGTCAAGAATATTAAAAATAGTAAAAATAAAAATATGACACAAGGGTCGTAGTTTGCATAGAAGCTAGGGAATGGAGTGGGGGCATAGAATATGAGTGTCACTTTCACCGGTGACATGAGAAAGGGTTCTAACCATTTGGCAAAAGCCTCCCAGTGCACTTAGCAAGCATGCTTTACAGCGATATCTATAAGATACAGTCATAATAAGAAATAGCTCTCAGAGTGCCCATTAAATGAAGTCATGACCCACTGAAACAGGCTCAGCTCGGCCCATGGTTCCTACAGATGCTCACAGAATGCTATCATGATGTGCACCTATATGTACATGTCTACATTTATACACACACACACAAATATTTTAAGCTTTATGGGGAAATGGGATCAGTGAATATGTTTATTTTGGTACAAAAACAATTCAAATCACTGCAAAAAGCTCATGAAAATGCATATTGTGAAAAATATGCAAGGATATACACATAAATGATATACAAACATACAAGGCAACTTCAAATGTTGATGGAAAAATGAACGAAAAGGTCATGTGCATTTCCAATTACCCCTCTGAAGTCCCCTTCCACACAGGCACTGGGCCACGCAAGAAGCTGGGAGCCCTGAAACCTATCCAGCACAGGTGCCACCCTAGGTGGTACCATGGCACGGCCAAGAGGCCCCACATCTGCCCTGTGCTCTAACATCTGCAGGCGGGTTGCCCTCCGTTCCCTGCTGAATCCATGAAGCCCATGAAGTGCATGTTCCCACAGGCAGGGAGCGGCGAAGGCAAATCCCAGCCCGACTTCACCTGAGGCCTCTGGCGTCTAAGTCCTGTGCTCTGTCTGCAATGAAATCTTGCCTGTAGTAAAGTTGTGGTCACCTTCTGTTCTCCTGTCCCCATCCCTCTTCCACCCCCCCCCCAACAGCGACTTCAAAGTGACAGTATTTGAAAAATAGCGAGACTCGATTATGCTGCTTTCCATTCAGGCTGCATGTCTCCCTCCCAGCCCTCCCGGCGAGTCCAACCCAGGACGTGACTGGCTGTGGGTCGTTTCCGTCCCTGTTCTGGGCTCCATCTGCCCTGGCACAGAAGGCTAGGCCTGCTTCTCATTGTAACAAGGTTGCACTAATTAACTGTGTTTGATTTTGCATATGGAGGGAGAATGCAAATGAATGCAAAGCAGTATGCAAATCAGCAACATCCTGGCTCTCCCAAAGAACCAGCCTGTGAGACTGATGTCAATGACAGTGTATATTAATAGCCCATCTTAGGAAGGCATGCACAGTTTTTTTTTTTTCTTTCAGAAGAGCCACGCACCAGGGTTGTTCTTTCTTTCTTTTCTTTTTTTTTCTTTCTGGAATAATAGTGACTTTAGATTGAATTCCAAGTTTATGATCCTTGACAAGAAGCCCATGGTCACAATGTTATATTTTCTACAGAAGGCTCACATAGGCGATGGGGGTTGCTGGAAACAGCACAATCTTACAAACGAAACTATACAGTTGCAGTTCAAAACCCTGCTTCCTGCTTGGACAAGTTCCTTAACCTGAATCATGGTAACTGAGCCTCTACAAGAGCTATCCGGGAGGACTGCGGGAGAAAGGTTTGCAATCAACTGAAGCACAGCTGGTGAGGGGCCCTTGTTCACTGCTCGCTCCACACTCCTGCCTTCTCCCTTTGGGGAACTAAGGAGGCAAGCAGGAGGCTCATCTCCTGTATCTGAGCAGTGTTGCTCGTTATTCCACTACTTGTATCTTTCTCATACAAAGCTCTGAAAGAAATCCCTAGCCCCTATTATTGCCCCAGGAACCACAGGACTCTTCCTGTGCGCTTCGAACGAGAAGACGCTGTCCTGCTCCCCAGCAGTTCTTCCAAGGCCTCCTCCATCATCCACCCTTCTCTGTGCGATGCATGTTTGCAGAACACTCCAGGAAGTCAGACTTAAATCCTCAAAATGCATGAAGGCTAAGCTCAGCTCCCTGACACGCACTCCTACCTTAGTGCAGGAGGAGGCCACAAGGACACAGGCAGCATGAAGACAGGGAAGAGTGCTGGCAGTGCCGTGCTTCCCAGGTCTCTGTCGCAGTGTTGCACACCTGCACGTTCTGACCGTGTGGTAACGTCCCGCCCTCCCCACTGCACTGCAGCTTATAACTGCACCTCAAGCTGCCTGCTCACTCACCCATGGGCGACAGCACCATGTTATCCCAGGAAGCAAATGCAGTCTCTGCACTTCGCTACTTGTTCTAAGTGTCCAGACACTGCTCTCAGTGGGCACTGGACTTCGGAAGTGCCACAGCTTCAATAGAAAATAGACCCGGGTATCCCTGCCCTCTCCACTTGTCCTGCTAGGACTGCCCTCAACAACAGGGGATCCCCTGCCCTGGCTGAGCTGTGTCCCTTCTGCCTTTTAGAGGGGTTTTTTTTTAGAGATGCTCCATATGCCTCAGGGCTAAAATGCAGTGGCAGCTGTGAAGTAACCAGCAATGGCTCTGCGTCCCCTCCTCGCACTTTCTCAGCACGCTCCTGGGAAGGTTGTTGGCATTTGGCACATGAAGAGAGTGACAGGTGACATGATGGCACAGAGGCATGGCCGGTTCTTGAGCCCAAGCTCATCCCCTTGCTCTGAGGAAGAAAACGGTCTGAAGGCCTAGACGGACATTTCTTACTGCCAGAAGGAATCTGACAGTCTCTCCAACAGGACTGGAAAGACACAGAGCTTGGTCCTTGAAACAGACAGGGAAGGGCAAAGGCAACCACTATGCACTATGCACTCGGTTGGAAGTGGAAAGAGGACAATGCAGGAAAGAATGAGGAATCAACAAATGAGGGAGCGAAGAAAAAAGGAAGGGGGGAAGAGAAAGGGAAAGAGGGAGAGAAAGGGAGGGAAGAATGAAGGAGGGAGGGAAGAAAAGAGGGAGGGAAGGAAAGAGGGTGGGAAGGAGCGAGGGAGAGAGGAAGGGGGAAGGAAAGAAGGAAGGAAGGAAGGAAGGAAGGAAGGAAGGATGGAGGGAAGGAAACAATGACAAAGGACACAGGCAGGAAGAAGGTGAATGGAAGGGAGGGCAAGCAAGTAACCCTAGAGGGAAGAGTGGGTTCTCCATGGAAACCAAGGTTCCTGTAAATCACTTCCCAGGCAGGATGCGGGATGATTACTCTGGCTTTGACAGCTGAATCTGAAAAAGCACTCCTACCAATCACCAGAGCCCTGCGGCACCCACCTCCACCAGGTGCTGGGATGGGAAGAGAAAACCAGCCTCACTCATACTGCTTTACCTTAAACACGCCTTTTAGACAAATACATTGCAGAGATCACTTCGCTTTTTCTCTTATTCTCAATTGCTGGGAAAGGGAAGGATGGGCCAAGGAAGACAGGAAACCTTACTTACCTGTCATAGAGCCAGGAAGGGTCTTCCACCCGGACCCAGCAGTTGGAGGTGAACAGACTGAGTCTGAGACTCACCACCACTGCCAAGGCAACAGGGCCTGGGAAACCACTCAGGTCTTGGCCCTCTCCTCTGCATATGAAAGGAGATCTGCCCAGGCTCTCATGGCAAAGTTGGAGGGACTTAATTTATATAAATGACTTCTGCAGAAGAACTTGGCACAGGATCAGGTACTGGCAAGCCATTTCCCTCCCTTCCCATTTCTAGTACTACTTATCTTTGGGTCCACTTTTCACAGCTTCAGTTGCGTGAGGTCAACTGTGATCCAAAAACATTACACAGAAAGTTCCAGAACATTCAATTAATAAATTTAAAATAGCATGTCATTCTACATAGAGTTCTCCTCACGTTCCATCATGAATCATCTGTAGCACCAAGGTATCCACACTGCACTGGGTAACCACCTGTTAGTCCCTTAGCAGCAGTCTTGGTTCTCAGGGTGACACTTCCTTAGTGCTGGTGTTAAAGTGACCCCTTTGTACTTACTAGCAGTCCCAGGAGCTGGCAGTGTGACTCAATTGGTCCAACTGCTGCCTGTTGTGCTAGGGAAAGGAATTCCATAGGAATACAGAGCCCAGCCCCTGCTGTTCCTCTTTCTATCCAGCTCCCTGTTAATGCACAGAAAAGATGACCCAAACACTTGGGAACCTGCCACCCATGTGAAAGACCTGCATGCAATCCTCAACTCCTGGCTGCACCCTGGCCCAGACCTGGCTGTGGCAGCCATACAGGGGTAAGGCAATGAAAGCAAAATATCTCTCTTTCTCTATCTCTTTCTCCCTCTTGCCCTACTTGCCTCTTTCTTCCTTTCTCTCTTTGTGTAACTCTGCCTTTCAAATAGATAAACAAATCTTTTAAAAATAAAATAAACAGGTAACATCCCCAATGTACAATAGCAGTGATGCCAAAATTTAGCTATGTCAAAGGAGAAGCTGTGCAGTGCATCTGAAAGGAAAAAAGAAAAGTTCTCAGTTTCATTAGAAAAGAAAAAATACAAACATGTACATACAGGAGAAGTGGCGTATGTAGGGAAAAGAAGTCCAGATGAGCCCCAGTACCACCTGCTCTTTCCATCACCCACGGCGTTCTTGAAAGGATCCTGCACGAAAAGGGGGGATCACTTTATTTAACAGAAAAAAGAGATTGATTTGTTCCATTTTTACATTTTTTATGATACATTATCATA